GGTCACTGTCCTGTACTTGCTGTTTGCCATAATAAAATGAAATAATAATTTTTCTGATATTTAAATTTGTTTTCTCCTTTTTTTTTTTCTGTAACAGGGTAAAGACAAGGAGAAAGGTTTACGAGTATCTCAATCTTTCGTTCTTCTATACAGTGCATTTATCGTTTTAGCTGGTATAACATTTTTCACAAATAAATTTTCTTGAAATTTATTGTTGATGTTCTGAAACTAAGGATTATTTATGAGCAACTGTGATGTTTCCATGAGATGTGAAACAGTCAACAGACAAAAATCAGCTTACTGGGTGACATGGTTTGCACATCTCAGTGCATTGTAGAATTGGTTCTGATGGTAGTATGAGCCATGAAGTGGATTAGGTTTAGACAAAAGATCAGCAAAGAATGCCAAGATCACACGACAAATCCAGTATTCAAGACCCTGACTGACTCAGGGAGCCAGCTGACCAAAAATCTATGCAGTAAGCCTTTGTGGCAGAACAATAATAACGCATTGGGCTACATTGCTTGTAGCCTCTATACTGGACAATATATCTATGTTACTGTCTTTATCCAAGAGAATTGTTACCTGGTTTAAAATTAAATTGATCTATTCTGAGTGATATACCTGACTGGGAATGCTGCATTTTTTAATGTTGTTTTAAATTTGTAAAGGAATGGCCACAAATTCTATCTGATACTGTATTATTTATTTATTTAATTTACTTTTTTTAAATATAAACTGCTTTATGCATATCGAATATTCTCGCGTATATGACAGGTTTAAGATAGCACAGCAGGTCGTCTTTAATGCTCAACACTTACGATTTTTGATTTTTAAATCATGTTCGTCTTATTTGCTGATCGTCTGTAACATGCAAATTTACTAATGAAATTAAGCTACTATATGCTAGTATGAGTGAACGCAATTTGTATGGAAATAAGATTTTGATAAAATGGTATTATTTGGAAGATTAGCTGTACATTTGGCTCCGTTTTTAGCCAGCTAGATTCAGTATCAAGACCATAAAGAGCAGCAGCGTCTTATATGCCCAACATACAAAAATCGTCCTAAAAGCTTCTCAAAATCTGAGGTCATTTTATATGCGGATCGCCTTATACGTGAGAATGTACAGTACTGTATTTGTATATTTTATATCAGCATTTGGACTTTTTTCAATTTTGAGCAATCTTGTTCGATTTTTTAGCAGACATGGGGTTTATTTCGTTTTCTTTTGGCAAGGCTTATGCAATTTGTTTGTCAGAGTACATTTAGCATATTTAGCATTTAGTGTTTTCAACAAAATAAATGATGGATATTTGAGTGTTTAGTTATTATTGTAAATATAGCGAACATGATCAATATGTTTGGTGGAATAATTGAACAATGATGCGTTTTTTTCTGTGTATTGGGGTTGTCTCAATTTGACATTGTATTTAAATTTTTGAATAAAACAATATACAGCAACAACAATATATAAAGGTTGTAATTTATGCATATTGTTATTGAATAGGATCTATGTTGTGAACCTATACTGAAGTTGGTAATTTACTAATTCACCAACTGCAAGTAAATGGTATTTGATAGATCAAGGAAGTATTAAGTATAATACCTGCTTGGCTTAGATAGGGCTTGGTAATTTACCAACTATGAAGTACAGGTAAATGATATTTGTTGTGGCAAAAGTATCTAAACTCACATGGGAAATATTATATAGTACAGTATAGCGTATTTTGTACTAAAATGTAATACAGTACAATAGAACTCGACAAAAGGTAATGCTATTTAAATAAACCAACAAAATTGTTCTCATCTCTACTGTGATTTCACTTTCCCCATTGTCAAAACACGGATGAAGAGTCACTTTAAACAGTTAACTTCATTGTTATTAGTCTTTTTTCTTTTTGCGGCATCACCATTTTGGTGCGTGGAAGTGGATGTTATACTTTTTAGCCCAGCCTCGAAAGATTTTTTTCTCTTTTATAAACCTATGTCCCTTTCGTTGGCGTTGATTATACTTGTAGTAGCCACATTGCGTTGGGCCTGCAGGGTTGTAGTAATGATATGGCACCTTTGATGTTGGCCACCTCCTAGGTAAATAAATTTTAAAAAAAATAAATAAGAATTAATACAAGATAGCAATGTTAGTGCATTTATAATAATCATAATATCAATTTTAATATTGAAATAATATGTAACAATAAAATAATGGTAAATAATACTTATGATATAATTATAAAGAAGTAATGAAAATGATAACCTCTATATTTTATAATAATTATTTGGGTCTTTATGGTGAGACATGTAAATGGTCAACATATAATAATATAGGCCAAAGATTTTCTTTGAAGACCAATCAAATTTCCCATACCGGTATTAATAAACCAATATCAGTTACAGTACCGTTTAATTAAAAACTGACATCAAAAACATTAGGCCCATCAGAAAAATGTCAATTAATGGTCTAGTATCATTCGTAGCAGGTCTGACGAAGTGCTCTGGCTCAGTGCTACGTGTACCTCCTAATTGAGAAGTCATATCATGAGTGAGCCTATTATATTTTTTGTAACAACTTATTAATAGGTCCATGCTTATATTCTTCTGGGTTTTTCATTGTTTCATTGTGATGGGTAGCAAATCGTTTGTTTTTGCACTCATTTAGTACTGTACATTAATATCCACTGTTCACTGTCAAAATGCTATTATTGTAGCAGATTTGGACATATTGCTCGTTTGAAATTTACTGTTTATGACATTATTCTGGAAAACAGATTACAGAACATCATTCTTGCATTCCATAATATATTTAATGTTATGGATGAAATAAATGCCATATAACATGATATTGTGATCCACTTTTTTCGTTCTAGTTTTAGGACGAAATGCTGGGCATTGTTTGGTCCTATAATAACAATCTTTCAAAGTTAAACCATTCCTGCTGCATTAGCTGTGAATTATGCTAATTATGAAATTTAAGTAGCCTTTTAATTTGCGTAATTCGAAAAGATAGTACATTACGCAAGAATGCATAATAAGCATAATCATTTACTTACTGTAATTAGGCTGACCAGGAGCTCATTAAAAATTGTTTTTGGTTATTGTTACAAGAGCGTAAATAATCATTTGAAATTTTGTTTGCATCAAAAATTTAAATGAGAATGCACAAACCCAGTCGTAAGTTGGAGGTCTCTGAAGGACAGTAGCAAATCTAAGGGGAACCAGAAAATAAGTTCTCAGCCTGGCTCCCCCGCTGGGGATTTACAAAGAAAATTATACTCAGGCAGTTTGAAATCCAATAATATCACCTTATTTTCCCCAGCTATTACTTTATCTCCCCTTACTTGACCCTTCTCCACACCCTCTTCTCGGTTTACTCCATGAAACGTTACTCGTGTAAAAAATTTCTATTTGTAAATATTGTAAGAAAATATAAAAATGAATTGTTTAAATGTCGAATGTGTCAAGTCAGTCAGAAAATAATACTTTCAATTAAAATATCTACTTTGGTTATCATAACATTTACCTGCAATATGTATCAGGAGGAATGCCGTAGACGTGGATTTCGTCACATATGTCCTTAGCAACGTTAAGCGTAAACCAACCAGTGGATAGCCACGCCCCAGATCCTAAACTATTAACCAATTAAAATACAATAAATAAAAACAGATAAACTTCGAAAACAACACCGCATACTAATATTTGATACAGTGGTGGTATGGGTGGTGCAGGGGAATTTTCCCTATATTATTCCCCCCACCCCCGTTTGTGCCCCAATCATATCAATCACTTTAGTGAAGTTGTCTGCGCTTTTTTCACAATCAATTCCAGCAATGTGTTAATTTTCCCTTATTAAGACACTGCCAGCTGGACACGCTTCTTGTTAGGTTTTATGATGCCGCTTGTAACATACATGCTAGACTCAAGTGAAAATTGCAGCGTGTAGGCCCTTCTTCCCTCTCCTTTAAAATTTTATCATCCCCTCACTCCCCCTTCCCCCATAGATTTCCGCTGGCACTGCCACTGATTTGACAAAAAAAAAAAGCTGTACGGTACGTATCAATAAAACCTGATAAACAGCTCGAATAATAATACTTCAGTAGGCCAATTAGACTTATTTTGAGTTTGATCATTATACTTTTTTTTGTTCAATTGTATCCCTAATATTAATATATTAATTAAACCCTGTAAATGTTGTGTATTATTGTTTGTAGGGGGGGGGGGGTAATAAAACAATAGTAATAAAAACGCGAGTATGTGAGCAATCATGGAGCTTGAAATTAATTCCTTCAGTGTGATAGACTCAATACTTGAAAACGACAGTTACAATTTCAATTAATTTTAATGCTCTATTTTCTAGACAAAAACAAATGTACAGAGAAAAATACTGTAGGCCTACAATATTACTGACACCACAGTTTCTTGGATTGTTATTACGCGAAATGTGTTTAAAATACATAAGGCAATATTATATGTGATATTGACTATTGTTATTTTAAGGCATCCTGCGACTGACGGAGGCATATCACTGTATTTCTATCACTGCACTTCAATACAAATTTAAATTTTGGAGGAGAAGCTTTAGAAATCTCAAGAGAAGTCATTATAAATTTTGTACTTCAAGTCTCCTTCCAGATGCATAATAGTTAAAAAATGACAATTTTTTTCACAGCCTTGAAATGGGGACGCTGATGTGGGGTATGGGTGTGAAGTGTGGGGAGGGCCTCGATTATCAGTTGAGGGGCGCTAACTCGCAAAATAAGGTGATTTTAGGTGCTTTTTAACTACTTGCAAGAGATTTTTTTGGGGGCGACTGGGGGAACGTGAGTAATTTTTTGGAAGTGCGTGCAGCCCCCATGCACCCCCTAGATACGCCACTGCCCGTGAAAACTCGCAATACATGTGGTACCAGTATTAAATTCTTTGGATCACTCTCTTAACAGTGGCACATTTTGTTGCTGAGGGTGCTACGGACAACTATAATACTCGTCTCAATCAGGGTAACATTCTAGCCTTTATTACTTCTTTGTTATACATTGTAGAACCACAGCCAACCACAGTCCACATGTGTGAACGTTTCAGTCAGTTGTGGTAAAGTGTGTGTGGAGTAGAACTGCATGTATATCCTGTAGATCTCTGTGGTCTAAACGGTACGGTATGATACCCGTCTTGACAGCCAGGTGTTGCGTTCGAATCCCGCCAGACACTGCAATAAACCTTTCGTTGATGAGCTATGCTTGATACGATTATTACAACATGTTCCTATTTGAGCACTGTTATTATTATTTATCTATTTGTATATGTAATTAATAATAATAGTAATAGTGATAACAATTATTATTATTATTATTATTACTACTATTAACTTTATCATCATCAATATTATTATCATTATCATCATCATCATTTTGTGAAAAGAAAAATAAATTTAATGATATGTATGTATATACGCACTTTAGTAACTATATTGTTCCATACTTACGGTGTCCTTATCTCTCAATTTAACGTATGAAGTTCGAACATCATCTAACGGAGTTGACGTTTGCAGACGCGCACTCTCATTCAATGTCAATACCATCGATACACGCGTAGGTGGAATAGGCCTAGACCCATTAGAACTATTTGTGCCTTCACCATCAAGTCTGTCAGTAGTCCTATTGATCGTGGAATTGTGTTGTGCTTTTGTTAGCCCAGTTGAGTATACTAGGGGTCGTGTTTCTAAAAAAACGTGCTTGTCTAGGATGATGTATAGACTTGTAAGTAGAAAACACAATATAGAAATATACTGAATTCCTTTAACCACTTTCATTATTTATACACATGACATTACTATCCACAAGTTCAACAATGTTTGATTCTTTTACCAAAACTAATTTCACTCAGCAAATAAGATCATGTACGATTGTCATTGTCATTTCTGTGGAAAATAAAAAAAACACTGATGGTTATTAAACAATAATATCCAATATTTAAAACAATACCGGTAGCGAGGGTCTGTAGGCATGATCGAAATTGTATTGTATTTTATATGAAATAGTGCTGTCTGATGAAATTGAGCACAATATTTAAACTTTTATTATTACATTTTCTTTATATTGAAAATTATTAAGGTCTAAATTAAACAATACGCATTAATAGTGATCCCTCATCCCCTGTTAACAGGCTAGACTATAGATCATAGTTCTCCCTTCAATTAAAGACCAGGTTTGGACTGGGAGTTTCCATGGGCTTTAGCAGCTTTGGTCTCTAATTAGAACAAAAAGATAAAAGACATTTGTTTATTTGGGACCACATGAAAGTTGTCTTTAATTGGAGGTGGTCTCTAATTGGAGAGGTCTTTAATTAGAGGGAAACCCGTATTTCTAAATTTAAAAATATAATAGGCATATATATATATATATGAAGCTTTTTCAACAGTTTTTGAAATATGGCATTTAGCATGTGACATTAAATAAGTACAATACAATATTTTAGGACATTACTTAAATAAAAAAAAAAACACTATAGGCCTAATTTCATTCTCCAAATTTATTGTGTACTCGTAGAAAAAGACTGGTTCCTAAAGCGTGTTCATGGAAATTAATATTTGTATTGTAGGGCTTGAGGCCCAGATATACTGAATTTAAACTCTCTCATTGGAGAGAACTGAATAGTTAAATTATAACAGGATATATAGGCCTACACCTTGTTTGGTCTATCAAAGTCGTGTATGAAATATTCACCAACATACCATCTTGCATATGTTTGTAGCGCTTCAACGTACGTTGTCCATTAGACCTATGAAGAAAGTGGCATCCATTCGCTGGACAGCTTTGTTGGTCACTGTGCGGGATACAGCTCTGCTGTCGATGTTATCGATCTAGTGTTTGTTTTTTGATTGAGAATTTGTGTTAAATAGATTTATTGTCACTTTACAGTTCCCTACACATTTCTATTCAGCCATGAAATTGATTGTTTGAGTCAATATCATGATATTGGTGACGTTTAAATGATCTCTCGTGGCATTGGATACCATATGCGAATTATAACTATTATAATAATATAACTAATTTAAATATCATTACTCAAACTTCATAACCCTTATTGTCTATTTATATATTATATGATACCTAACATTCACTTCTTATCTCTCAATGCTAGAGGATTAAGAGAGAAGCATAAGCAGGAATGTATTTTCAAATGGGCAAACGACAATAAAGTTGAAGTATTTTTCATTCAAGAAACGCTCTTGACTCGTGATAAAATAAATCAGTATGAATTTCTTTGGCAAGGTCAAGCATACCATAGCTTTGTTTCTTCTTAATCAAGAGGAGTTTCAACTCTGATTAAGGACTGCCAGTGATACCTATAAGGTTAATAAAACACATATTGATGAAATGGTAGATCTGTCATTCATATCGTCATTTGTGCTTGTTATGCACCAAAAACTGCAAGTGAACAAAGTGATTTTTTTTATTGAAAGTTTACAGGTGATGAGAATAGTAACATCATCATGTCTGGAGATATGAATTGTGTTTTAAACAAAAATATAGACCAAAAAAGCAGTAAAAACACAACAGACAATTCAGTATATACATTAATGAACTTTATGAAAAATGTTAATGTAATTGATGCATGGAGGACACTTAATCCCAACATAACTCATTTTACATGGCATAGAAAATCAACACAAACATATAGAAGACTAGATTATATATGTTTTTTTTTTTTTAATAAATCTAATAGAATCTGTTTATTCATGTGACATAAGACCATCAATTCTCACTGATCACCAGGCGGTCTCGTTAAATCTCTTAATCAATAATGAAAAAAGAGGGCCAGGCCTGTGGAAATTGATTAATAAACACCTGGAAGATGGGGAATTTATTAAAAATATTATATCTACTGTTAATCAAGCCAGGACAGAAGAGTTAAATCCACGTGATAAATGGGAGATAATAAAATTTAGAATTAAAGAATTTTCCATTAATATTGGAAAAATGAAAAATAAGAAAAAAAGAAAGAGAGAAAGAAACAACTTAAAATATTGAAATCAACAGATTAAATAATCTAATATTGCAAGACAATAGTAAGCAACTTGAAATTAAACTTGAAGAAAACAAAAAAGATCTTGAAAACTATATATATGACAGAATCAAAAGGAGCCCAAGTTAGGTCTAGATTTAAATGGATTGAAGAGGGGGGAAGTACGTACTTTCTTGGCATCGAAAAAAATAACAGCAACAAAAAGAACATTAAATTACTTTAAAAACAAGACGGTGCTTTTACTTCTAACGCATTTGAGGTACTTGAAGAACAGGTTAAATTCTTTTCTAACATTTACGCTAGTAAAAAATTTCAAACACAATAATTAATAAATATATTTATCACATTTGATTTAAACTCACAGAAAATGAAAAACTAGCCTAATATGTGAAGGCGAACTGACATTATTAGAATGCAAACATGCCGTCATGCAAATGAAAAAGAATAAAGCATCTGGGTGCGATGGCTTAACGATGGGATTTTACACCAAACCTTTTGGCACATTATTGTTGACATCGTTTGTGACGCCCTAAACTGCTGTTACATAGACGAACAACTTTCTTACACGCAACGAAAAGGTGTCATAAATTTAATTCATAAAAAAGGTGATCATCATGATTTGAATAATTGGCGACCGATTAATAATAATAATAATATTAAGATTTATTAAGCGCACATCTCCACTAAAGTGGATTACCTTACTCAATCAGGCATGAGCGAACCGACGCCCGGGACAAGTGTTTTTAACGGTCGGACAACAAGAATTTTAGGGACCACTGGTCCGTGGACAAGCAAGTGACTTTTAGAATAGGCTACTCATCGTGTAATGCGTAATGATTTCACAGTACTGTACACTATAAAAGTCCAACTTCTTGACAATTTTATGCTGTATTATTTTTATACAGTACCGTAATTATTCATTGTTACTACTGTTACTATATAATCATTAATACCTTTTACTATTATTAATTACTAATAATGCCTACATAATTATTACTAAACTAAGTTGATACTACACAGTACAGTAGTACAGTATTAGTACATAAGCTGCTAGTGTGTGGTGTTTAATTTGACTCGCATATGTCTACAGGTACCCGTCAGCACAGTAGTTCAAAAGACAAAAATCATATTTTTAAAAGGTAGAACCTAATATTATTATTTATTCTGTCTGCTCCTATGTATGAATCACCATTAAAACAAAGAAGAATAAGTTTTCATATGTCATCACAACATGACTTTATTGGATACTGAACTGCATAAAATGACATAGACCTCTATGAAAATTATGTTTTTAACAAACAGGCAGCAGTACTGTATATCAACATACCCATTGAATATAAATACTTTTTCATTACTTATGCTCCTAGTATGAATCGCCATTAAAACAAAGAAGAACAAGTTGTTATGTCATCACATGATTGGTCGAAATCCGCTACCGCGGATCCCAAATGTCTGGACACTTGGTTTCCGGTACCGCACCCCCAGCAACAGCGGACTACGCAAGGGTAGTTAAATTGGGATTTAAAGTTGTTAAATAATTAAAAAATCATTCAATTCTAAGTGATGAAGAAAATGTTCATAGGGCCTATAAAATCCAAATCTTGTAAAATTGAGGGTTTAGGGAATATAAATGAATCATTTTCCTGTCTCAAAAATTTCACCGTCTCGGAGATTCACTAGAAGGGATTCGTCCCCTTGGCCCATGCTCAGAGTTATATAGGCCTACAGTGCTTGTCTTTCATTGAGAGGTAAGCCATTTTATTTATTTTGCAATAAACGAAATGAGGATTGTGCGGCTGTAAAATATTCCCCACGTAAATTAGGCCCAGAAATCCGTCGCCGCATTTCGAAAATATGAGCAGATTTTCACGGATATCAGTGCAGAAATTGCTATTTGATTATTTTGTATCCTAGTCTGCAAAAAAAAAAAAAAAAAAAAAAAAAAAAAAAAAAAAAAAAAAAATACATTTGAAGAAGAAAAGAAAGAAAGACATTTTTGCGTAATCAATGCTGTATGCATGTATGCCTATTAATGTTGTAGGGCCATATCAAAAATACTTTACTTTTGTGTTATTTTTTTATGATTATTGCTCAATAATATTGTTACTTGTCCGGGGACAAGTGAAAAAAATATGAAATTCCCTCATGCCTGACAGTCATGATAAGAAAGTTCTCCATCGTGAATTTTATTTTTATTAATTTCCACTGCTTTTAATTTCAAGGGTGGCACCAGGATTTTCCCGACGGGGGGTACGATGTCCCCGACGGGAGTGGGGGGGGGGAGAGGGTGTGAAGATTTCCCAGACGAGAGAAAAGTGGGAGTGGTCAAGCGTCGTTTAAAAAGTATCGAAAGTGGTCCCGAATATTTTGGCAATTTAGGGGTTTCAAAGGCTTATTCAATTGATTTGAGATTTTAGTATATGGAGACGGGGCGGGGGCTGTCTCTTATACACATCTAGATGTGGCGCCACCCTTGTTTACTTTACTTTCGGATTTCGGCAATCTTGGTTTCGGCAAAGTGTACTAGGCAATCTGGCATTCGGAAAACTGAGTTTCGGCTGACCTAGAATCATCTGAATGCATATTCCTAGCGTTTTACTAATTCCATATGCCTAACTCTGACACGTGACTCGGGGAAGTGAAAACAATTGAACCACATCAAGCTGGTGAGCTGCTGACATCCGCTGAGTAGACTACAGTAGGCCTACTTTATGTAGTATGTGCCGTCAATAATCAAGCTTCAATCGATGCAGTTGAATACACTTTGGTGTTGTCCGGGCTAAGTGGCGTAAATAGATCGTTTTGTGGAAGTAATACAAAGTCACATCAAGACATTGAGTGAAGGTTAGTCAGTTTGGATCAAATCATGCCATGGGAATATGAGATCATGCCCATAATACAGGAAAGGCATGTGCTATATGAAGATGTTATTTTTCATTAAAAGAATTACATTAATTTTCATAATATGAAATGTTTATTTGTTAATATTGTGCGTCAGGCATACAATTAGAGAGTGTTATTCACAATGAATTAATTATAATGTAAAATAATGATTGTTTTTATCGTACAATGTGTCGTAGTTAAAAATATGTTCATTGCTGATATAATACATAGCCTGGGTTTTTCCAACTGTAGTGTAGTTGTGACATGCGCATTATGATATGATAACGCCGCGACTTATTTACATAAAAGTATACTGCTGTGGTGTTTCATATACTGTATATAATCTTTTTCCTCCATGATATAATATAGTGATATTTTGTCAAAGCTATTTTTTATTTTTGTGTGAAATTTAAAAAATTAATTTTAATTCGGTATTTATAGTATTTCAATCCTGTATACATTAATGGTAAACACATTTTAGACACCAGAATAATTCAGAATATGATTTATACACGCATTTATATAATCCATACACATACCGTTTGTTGCGGTCCGGTGCTAGGTTCAATTGTCAAACAAGAAAGAAAGTCAAATCAAAACAATCAAATCAAAACTCTAACCTAGCATTCATTGACCGCATTTTACAAAAAGGAATTTATCAGCGGCGATCCAGCTTTTTGTGTATTAAATTTGTTTCTTAGTTGGAATCATGGATGATAATGATAATAATAATATATTATTTTTTTTATAACTGGCATACGTCAAATGACGGTGCGTTCAAAGCAAAGAATTCAAATTAACAAAGCAAAACAATTATAATTAAATGAGATAAAAAGCAATCAGAAATAAAATTCCAAGTGAAGCAATGAGTGAATCACAAATAAATGACAAATAAATTTCAGAAAAGACAAATTAACTCAATTAGTAATTTCAATAAACAACTACAGACAATTACAAAT